ACAGAGCGACCGAAAACGAGGTGGAATTTGCAACAATGGCGTTGAGGGGGCACAGCTGAGTGAACATCACCCTCTCAGAGCCTCTCCAACACATAAGGCCACTGACTGGAGGCACAATGCTCCCTTTTCACTCTCATCCCGACTGCTTACCACGTGGAGAGAGGTAGTGAAAGAAAGACACAGTGAGGAGAAAAATCATTTTTTCACCCGGGCCCTGTGACACCCCCTCAAACACCTCTCCACCTCCTCTCCGTCTCTCTGGAGCTTGGACAGAATAAGAAAAATGCACGAACACAAAATCCGAATCATTTTCTGAAACCAGGTGACGATTTGAGTCTGAATTATTTAAAATAGGCCCTCCATTGTTGGGCAGTGGAAATCCAATTAGTTTAATATAACAGACAGTTTAACACACGGGCTCATGTAATTTCTGTGGTGGGCCTATGGACACTTGTCTTTTGCAAACCAAGCTGTGATTTCCGAACAATATGCAAGGATTAAAAAATAAAATCATTAGGCTATAAACATGCGTGCGATTGCGTCATCAATCATATTTTATCGAAGACATAGAAGTGCGAACTCGAATAGTTATCAAATAGTCACAACAGAGAATATCATTGTTTGTTTTTTTTTAAAACCAGAACTCTATTGTGCCAACAACGCATTCGTATTTTTCGTGCCATCTTGCCAATATGATCGCGTGTACGACGGCCGGACGTTTATTTCACCGATGTTTGGAAACAAGCGCAAAATACGGCGGTGGGATGCGCGTCCCCGCTACTGTACGGCGACCTGTTGCACGCCACGCGCGCTCCCACATCATAACAAGTTATGATTCATAAAATATTATGACTTCTCCGAAAAATACAGTCCCGGATGTGCATTTCCCCCACAGGCCGCTCGTCGCCGACACAACCCCGTTAAATATAACACAAAAACAACTTACCATGTTTGAAACGATGATTTTTTGGAAGCGATAGCCTATTGTATAATGACAAGGGGGTGGAAAAAAAGCTCAGGAGCTTATGTTGGGTAAGATCGGCTCCGTCTCTCAGCCGGGACACTGGCGCAGCATTTCCCTATTCACTCCCAGGGATGCGCAGTCGGACAGCCGCATTTTTTTCAATTATTTATCTCCGTCGCAAAAACGCGTTTCTTTCTCTTTATGACAAAGGGTTATTATGGCTGAATGTATTTACTCATAGTCCAGTGGCAGCGGGAGCAGCAGGGGCGGTGCAGATAGCATGTACCCGCTACAGGGGGAGGATTATTTTTCTTGGCCGTGCGTGCTGCTCTTCCTCCTCTCTTTGTATTTGTCGGGGCCTGCTCCTGTCCGGCCTGTCTGCGCTCTCTGCGGTACTGTCTGTCTGTCTGTCTGTCTGTCTGTCTGTCTGTCTGTCTGTCTGCCTGGTTAGCTGGCTAGCTGTCTGTCTCCCTGTCGGTTATAATTAATGGCCCTCGCCGCCAGACGGTCCTCTGGGAAACAGTGACCACAGTTACCTCTACATTGGCTCTCAGTGTGCATCTCACATAGGAGTGCAGGCCCGGGAACACACACCTCTAATGCAGGGCTGGATCAGGTTGACGGGGGATTAAGATTTGCACAAGTGTGGATGATTGTGGTAAATGTGTAAACCCATTGTTATTAAGAAAAAAAAAAATCATAACTCATATTTTCATATTTTAATAAATAAAATTAAAAAAAATTGACGCTCAATCCAGATGGTGTCCACACTCAAAGGCAGGTACTTCACACCTGTTCACAATCATTTTGGCGATTTGGAGACAATATACTGAAAATATATAGAAATAACTGAAGCTAATAATAGTTCTGTATGGTGTTTAATACCTCTTAATAAGTATATTAGCTCTTAATGAAACATATTTAATGGTTGCAGCTAGGTCCTTCCATTTATCAGATGACTACAGCACAAATGATCTCCCTTCAAAGACCCTTAAAGCACATAACGCATCTTTAATTCATTCCCTTAACTCAAGCTACTGTAGTGATATATCGGCTTCTAACTGTGATGGCAGGTTAATGTCTGCTGAGGACAGTTTAATCACAATAATTCACCATCCTCTTCCTCTGCAGTTTTGCTGAACTGTAGTAGGAGCTGCTAAAACAGCCTGTGTGTGTCAGAGTGTTACAGAAATGTGATGCAGGGTAGAAGGTCAACAGCAGTTTACAGCATAACAGGAGCAGCACACCACTTAATCTGTCGGCTAATGACGGTGCTGTGGCAGGACAAACAGTCTGGTTAGTGAGCATCTTGTTGCTTGGCCAACTTTCCAACTTGGCACAATTTTTGTAAAAAAAATTTTTATCATCATGATCTTAATTGGACGTTGTCTTGTCAACTCACAGCCTCGTCTCCTGGCACACGGTGGCTGACAGATGTAAGGTTTATGTCTTACATCAGTAACGCCACTAGGTGTCTCTCAGAGACAAAGATTAGAGGCATGTTGCATGAGTTTGAGTAGCTTGTATTTAAATGTTGTGTCAAACTGCCTGATCATTTTAATAATAACATTTATAACATCAGAAGATGATGCACACATTTTTAAAACATTTCAACAGGAAATGAAAACAGGTTATGAGCAACATAATGTCCCTCTATAAAGACAGTTTCTTTGTACCCTCACACAACTTTTCTTGGTTTCACCTGTGGCCTCTATTATGTGCACTCATTTATTTGCTCCCATACACTGAGGTACATGCTGAAGGGTTTGTTGGTACAAAGAAACTTGAGCAGCATTATTGTTAACCTTTAAAAAAAAGCACTGTTTGTTTGATCTTGGCTCTGGTCTTTGGACTCTGACATGCTGGAACCTTCTCACTGCGACTGGTTACTGAGTTAGCTGGATAACAGTCCTGATTAAAACAGCTGTTAGGACTTGAAAACCTGTTATAGATTAGATTTGATGTGGTGTACTTTTTCCACGGGGCATTCATCACCTGACTTCAGTTTTTCCTTCTTTGTGAGATAGGCCTCTTATCTAAGAACTGACGCATCTGGTTTGTGACGTAATTAAAAAAATTCAAAGGAGTTAGGCAACACATGAGAACCAGATTATTCAGTATCAACTGTAATGCAAGGGGGTGTGATGAAAAACTCTCTCTCTTCGTTTGCAGTTCCCTTTTTAAAGTACTTATTAACTTAACTGTAAGGCAGTCGCTGTCTGGGAAGTGTCTGGTCGCCTGTCCTGGAACTCTTTGAGCTTCATCAGGTGTTTGTGGAGGTGTTTTGCAGCAGGAAAATACTTCCGCTGTATTCTTTATGTCTCTCCTAATAAAACTATAACTATAAGAGTTTAATGAGAGTTTAGTGATAAAAGTCCCTGATGCAGTGATTACTACATTATTACATGAGTGCTCCGAACTCACCCATCTTTGAACTCAGCCTTAATTTTGATCTAAACTAGACATCTGTAATATTTCGTGATTTCATCTTGCACGGCTGAGACGCTGTTACAATGACAAAATCTGTCCACAGACAGACAGACAGACAGACAGACAGACAGACACCTGCCAAAAGGCTCAAAGTCGCCTCAATTGCTGTGGGTAATTAGTCATGTTTGGTCATAAACTAAAGTATCGACTAAACAGAAATTTTAACCTGATCATGGTTCTGGAGCAAAAGTCGAGGGGTCACCAAAGTTATTACAATTTATCCAGACGGGGACACGAATGTCTGCAGCAAATGTCATAATAATTCATCCAATAATAATTCACCCTTACATCCAATGTAAACCTCACGGTGGTGCCAAAGGAGTCAGGAGATCTCCAGGACAGATCGTCTGGGGACCTTGAATTTCTGTAAAAAAAATGTTTAAAAAAGTGCCAACCATCTTTTAGACACACATCCCCATTAGCTCCAATTGTACTTTGTGTTTTGGCCAATTAGCACATGTTAACATGCTAACATGGTGAAGTTGGATGGCGAAAATCGCAAACATTATTCCTGCTTACCATCAGTATATTGTCATTGTGAGTATGTTAGCATTTAGCTAAACACTACTACAGTACACCCTCACAGAGCTGCTGCAGAGCATGGCTGTAAACCTCTACCCTCATGAGTTACAGCCTCCTAAATGATCTTACAGTTGAATCACCGCCTCTCTCAAACAGTTCTAACAATAATTGATGCTTCTAACCTTCAAAAAGGTTAAAAAAAAAAACAACAAAAAAAGGACTATTGTGTTTGACGGCATTAGTTTTAATGAGGTGTGCAGCACTGTTCAGTTGAGTTCAACTCACCCCTTTCTTCCTAAGTACTCTCACTTTTCATTTCTCTTGGGAGGTGAAATGTTACCTGGAAAACTTTGAATGTGAACCAACCTTGCTTGTTTAAAAAGCGTCTCTTTCTGTGGCGGCCTGACCACTTGTACTGAAGATGCTTGAGCCTGTGAACCTAACCTAAACCTAGGAAAATGTGCACCTGCATGTAAGAGCAAATAATACATTGTACTCCAGAACAAAAACAGGAGAAATATAAAGATAAATAGAGAAAGAATTTTGTGAATCTCCTTTGCTTCCTTTATTTAGCACATACTTTATTGCTTTCTCCACCTACTTCCTCCTGCAGCATTTGATTAATTATGTTGACAGAATCAGCCTGGGGATAATTTTGTGGTTACTTTTTAAGCGCTATGGAAAAATACTGTCTTCAGGTACAAGGAGCACAACTTGGACTTGTTAAATGTGTGCAATATCAGTTATATATATACTGGATATATATATATATCTCCACCCCATGTTGTATATACCTTATGTCAGAGTAGTTTCAAAATCTACAAGTTTAAGCAGAATTCACTAGAAATAACTAAGACAAGCCTTCTGAGAACTAATGCTTTTAACTTTAAAGTTACCTAATAATTTTCTCCAATACCCAACCACCATCTGAGTGTCACGTGACCTCAGCCATGTCTGAAGCAAACAGTGGGGGGTGGGGAGGTGAATCTGTTGGGATTAGCCTACACGCTCAACATACTGACCACACAACCTCACCGTGGTGGCCGCAGTCTGCAAACACCAGGGCACCACCGGGTAAGAAATACCACTTCTGTTTTCAGATGTTGTTTTAAAATGACCGCTACAGCTCAGCTGCGATGAACATGTGTGAAGTGCTGTTGTGTTAAATGTGCAGAAGCCGAACACATGCAGAGTAAAGTCGGGCCAAGAAGCTGTCGAGGATGATCTCCTGATCCCTCCACCACACCAGCCTGGGTCTGAGTCAAGGCAACACTCACCTCCGGTCAGTGTTACAACCCGTTTACACCGAAAAGTCACTGTTTTCTTTCCTTAATAATCACATACTGTTATATTACTGTTTGCTCAGCAGGTTATTTGGCTAATTAAATCAAATTGTCTCACTAAGCTCTGGTACTAGTTCAGTTTGTGCGTTAAACGAGTTCAGCAGGTCCTGATTCAACGTTATGTCATTTGTAAGACATTAGTTTGCAAGTGTCGATGTATTTCCTTGCATTAAGTCATGAGGTGTTATTTTTGTCCAGTTTCTCCACTATTACTTTTCCCAGTAATAGTGATCACATTGTTAAGTACTCTATTCATAGAGCACAGTAGGCAAAAGCCCAATAGACAGGATTACTGGCCTGAGTGCACAGTCGGAGTGAAACAAGGACTTCCCACTTGCCAGCAGCTCATTACTAACCGTGTCTTGTGCTCTGTCTGGGCATTAATGCTTCTTACATGTAACAGCAGCATGTAATTTGTCTGTCATCATGACTGGTTACAGTTTGTCAGAATGTAAATGATCATTACTTTTTGTTAATGAGGTTTTGTAAGTGAATTGAATCTAGTAGAAGTAGTGTGTGTTTGATTTCTCTCTGTAAATCTGCTGTTTAGCGAGTAGCTTTCTGTGACACAGACGAAAACGCACGTCAGGGTCTTTTCTTCCACCCACCATGGCGTCCCTGGAGGAGGAGCTGACCTGCTCCGTGTGCCGAGACATCTTCAGCCAAGTCCACCCCCTGCCCTGCGGTCACAGCTTCTGCCCCACCTGCATCCGCGAGGCCTGGAGCCAGGGTGAGGGTGAAGCTCACTTTACCTGTCCCCAGTGCCAGGAGGAGCACGGCGAAGTGTGGTGCGACTGCTGCCCCCCCGAGGCGGAGCAACGGCAGCCGTCATTGGCTGTCAAGACCTGCCTGAGGTGTGAGGTGTCGTTGTGTGCTGAACACCTCCAGCCCCATCTGGAAAGACCGGCATTTAGCACCCATCGGTTGGTGGAGCCGCTGGGGGACCTCTCCCAGCGAAGGTGCCCAACACACACAGAGATATTCCGCTACTACTGTGCCGATGAGAGGGTGTACGTGTGCGGCGACTGTCTGCTGGAGGGAGGCCACGTTCAGCACAAAGTGAAGGCGCTCAGACAAGTGGAAGATGATCTGAAGGTGAGCCGGAATAAATATAAATGTGTGTTTTTATGTGTGTTTGTGCAGCAGTGTGAGGCTGCTGAAATACCGAACGTGTGATTTCACAGGTCATTCTCCAGACGCTGCTGAGAAAAGCAGAGGATAAGCTGAAAGATGGAGAGCGAATCCTCAAAGAGCATGAGAATATTGATTGCTGCATGGCTGTGAGTAAAAATACATAAACTGTGCAAAGACAGTGTAACATAGTGAGTGTCTCAGGAGAAGAGGTTCTGTGATGAGATGTTTGTTTATGTATCAGTCACCGTTCTGGCACCGACCACCGATCCCTCATTGCTGGTTGCAGGACTCTCTGACTAAGGACGACACTCAGGTGGAGCGGCTGGGCTCGAACCTGCAGGTCCAGGTGAAGAAGCTGGTGGTGGCCCTGAGGGAGATCACGAAGCGGGAGCGACAGCAGGTCATTGAGCGTGTGCAGGAGGACTGCACCAAAGTGAGAGACGACATGAGCCAGACGCTGAGCATCCAGCACTACCTGGCCTCGCTGCTGGCAGAGACGGACCCCTTCCTGCTCATCTGGGTAAGACGTGGCGCTGAACAGACACTCTGATGTACATCACCAGTGTATTATAGTGTTTGTAGGGTGGTCACAGTGAATAACGATGATACACATGTCAAAATGAAGCTGATGATGCAACAATTTAGCTTCTGAAATATCTCAACAACTATTTTACCATTTATGGCTCCCAGAGAATTATATTGTGACCTCGGTCATCCATTCGGACAAACGTCACAACAAATATTTCCTATAATCATCTTATCACAGTAATAGGCCTTAATAAAGTCAAAGTTTTTCAACATATATATATATCTATATATATAAACTGTTCTGCAAATGATGTGTTGGTCCACTGGGCCTCGGCCCACAGGTTGGGAACCACAGATCTAGTGCCATCATCTGGTCAAAGCTGCAACATCCCCACTTTTAACCCAACTGGGGAGTTTTGTTGCAGCTCTCTTGTGCCCTTCCCTGAAATTCAGTCAACAGTAATGAACTGATGTCAGTGCTATTTACCATGACATCCACTGTTTTATGTGATGCGTACCGGCAGATGTGTGACAGTGGGAAAATAACACCTTATTTTTAAATGGTACCAAACTGGTGCGAAAGTGTGTGATGAATATACAGACAAATCATTGTCTTATACTACCACATATTATACTGCTCACTCTGGGGCACAAAGCTTATACAGTATTTTCTGGATTGTGTATATTAAGTCAGTGAAAATAGGATCAATGTTTACCATTTGAACCCAGGGAGGATGCTGTCAGTTTAAGCTCGTTAGTGCTTTAAAAGAGTCCGAGCAGCTACAGGATGCAGCAGAGGATGTTTAGTATTATTGTTATTCATACTGTCAGAGCTCGTTTATCATGGAATAAAGATGGTACGAATCAACCAAACAAACTGTACAGAGCCTCAGATGGGGTTAGTTATTGTGAGTATAACCTTGCTTTTTTTTGCTGTCTCATCCAGCTGGGCTCATTCACGGGGACATTTGTAGTTGTTTGTGTGAATGAATCCTTTTATGTCATATTTTTCTCAGCTGTCCTTGACTCTTCTTTCCTCAGGCCTTTCAATCAGATGACACAAAGTAAGTCCAGAATAAATCAGTGATGCTTCATCTAGCTGTGCATGTAGATACTTTACGCATGTTAGGAAATGTTTGTATGCGGGAGGTAGAAAGACAACAAGGAAAAAGAAAGGACGAATGCACTTATGTAATTACACAAGCTCTATATGTGCTAATTTTTCCTACTGCATGTGTATTCTAGGTTACTAGCTGACCTGAACAGCCCACTTTTCACACCTGATGCCATCAGTCTGGACAGGAAGCACATCTTGGAGGACATAGAGAGCAAGTATCGAGAGTTCATCACCGCCACCCTTCGCTGCCTCAGTGAACTCAAGAGGGAGCTCTGTGAGTAGCAGATTTATTTTGATTTATGAAAGGAGAAGTCTGATGTTTTCGAGGAAATATGCTTATTCACTTTCTTGTCGAGAGTTAGATGAGAGGATTTATACCAGCGTCACATCTGTCTTAAATATGAAGCTGCAGCCAGCGGCCGCTTAGCTTAGCTTAGCATAAAGACTGGAAGCGGTGGGAAACAGCATCTCTAAAGCTCATTGATTAACACACAACACTCCTGACTAGTCATATTTACACTTTGTGGTTTTTGTACAAATTAAGCAACAAGATACAATGCGTTAATCGTGAGCTTTTTTTTTTGCTTTTTGACAGAGCCATGCCAGCTGTTTTCACCTGTGTCCATGTTCTAAGCTGTGCTAAGCTAAGCTAAGCGACGCGACTCCACGTGTAGCTTCATGTGTAACAGACAGATGTGAGAGTGGCATCAATCTTCACATCTAACTCTCGCCATGAAGCATATTTCCTAAAATATCCCAATCCTTTCAACTTTTGATTTGGTTTGATTTTAATCACTTATTTTTATGACGTCCTCTGACTCTCACTACAACTACTTCTATGTGTGGTAATCAAGCATCCACTGGAAATATTTCTCTCAAGAAAGAAAAGCTTTGTTCTCATTTTTCCATTCTGTGGATTGTGTTTTACCCACTAGAGTCAGAATAAAGCAGCAAAAATTACCACAATTAATGGAATTCAAGCAACAAAAGATATTATTTTATGTCTCTCTCTGACAGTAAGCAGTCCTTTGACTCTGGACACAAACACTGCCCATCCTCTCCTGAGCGTCACTGATGACCTTCGCTCAGCGACCCGGGTTAAAAGCCGTCTGCCCTGCGCTGCTCACCCCGAGCGTTTCGACCACTGGCCGCAGGTTCTCACTGTCCAGACCTTCTCCTCTGGGACTCACTACTGGGAGCTGGAAGCTGAGGGATTCTGGGATATCGGCATCTGCTATAGAAGTATCGGACGGAAGGGGAAAGATGACAACGCCTTCGGGAACAACAAGGTATGTCTTCCACCTCGTTGGGTTAGTTGATAGCCCTGAAACATTTAAAGGTGCTATATGTCACATTTTTTAGCAGTAATTTGTTGTTTTTGTAAATAAATAAAATAGGTGGGGGCCTCTAATGCCAGTGGTATTTGTAGCGACACCATATTTTTCATGTTTCAGTTCATGAACATCACTGACTTTCTTTTGTCTGGCTTTAGTGAAAATGAAAAGGCTGTTTTGTTATAGGAGAAGGACAGAACCCTCTTCCTGTATTGGCTGCGCCCTGGAGAAAATATTTGCCCATCAAATACCCCTGTAGGGCAATTTATGTCAGTTATACCAAGGCTTCAAAATTGACATGGCACTGATATACTGTTGAAATACATGTAGCATCTTTAAATATGATCAAAGTACTGAGAGTGCCTTTCTTTACCTGCCACTTTAGACTTTAACCCCCATGTCTCTGTTAAATCCCCAGGTGTCGTGGAGCTTGACACAGCAGCATGACAGGAAGCTGGCTGCCTGGCACAACCGCAGAAAAACCCGCCTAACATGCCAAATGACTAGCAACCGCGTCGCCGTGGCCGTGGACTACGGCGCGGGCACCATCACCTTCTCTGAGGTGGGGCCAACGAGCAATCTGACCCACCTCCACACCTTCTCCACCACGTTCACCCAGCCGGTGTGCCTGGGCTTCGGACTCTACAAAGCTGAGCTCAACAGCCGCATCTCTATCGTCAAAGTCTGAGGTGGAGGAACGGGAAAGGAGGCCCCAGAGAATAACTCTGTTGGCAGCCGCGCTGGTTTGACTTAGATAAAGACGCTCCAAGACAATTCAGCGTTGATTAATTTTCCACATTTGGAACAACGAGACTCTGCGCTGGAGCTTCTGCCAACTGGAACTTTTTTAGCTGAGCTTGTCTTCCAAAAGCACACCACCGAAAACTGTGATCAGGTGATAGTGACATGGAAATTATTTCCAACACAGAACAGTGCGAGGGGACCGTTGATGCATGAGTATGAGAAGGATTTGATGAGCAAATGAAGACTCATTTGAAAAAGACCAGAAATGTTTTTTTTTTTTTTTTCCGTAGCAAGATTGGGAGATTATTATGTGCTTTTCAATTCCACAGTGATTCAGAAATGTAAGTGACTGACTGCTGATAATACACTCTGTTGCCGGTTTATTAGATAGACCTGGCGAAAACTGATGCAGTCTAATACAACAGCACTTAAATAAATACTAGATCCATGAAGGCCATGCTGTTCAGTTTTTGTCGCTGCTGTTTCAGAGAGAGTTTGATTCAGCTCCATGGTCATTTCGGAGGCTCTACTGTATGGTGCTGTTGAATTGAATTGCATCGGCGAGTGTTTCATTAATGGGGGGGGGGGGGGGGATGACAGACTTTGTGTGATGCTGTGTTTCTGGAGCTGAAAGTTCAGTTGTGTTTATTTGTTTCACTGATCTGTAGCTGTGCCTATACATGCTTCACCAGCCTGGTGAAGAACGTATAATCCAGCCCTGTATCTGCTATAGTGGCTCATAAAAAGGTAGCTGCACATCCACGGAGCAGTGGAGCTGCAAATGTTTTCACTCACATGAAGGTGCGCTACCTTGAAGCTACCTTGATCCTTTTTAACTCGGCTTGAAGACACAAGAGAAGGAATCGCTGATTTGATTGGATATTAAAGAAAAAAAGGGGAAAACAACTGCCACTCACTCGCTAACTGTACTCTTTGAAGTGTCTCAGATACCCAATTATCATCCTATTTTCTTTATTTCACTGTAAAGGTGAGTGGGCGGATGAAACATAGAGGGTGAGAAATAAGCAGACGGAAAGGGGGGTGGCTGAGAGCGGGAGAGAGAGAGAGAGAGAGAGAGGGAGGGAGAGAGACAGAGGGATTAGAGCGTGCTCTGTCTTGGTAACACTCAGACTAACTGTCGTACGGTGAAATAACGTGATAGAGGAGCGAGAGAACAAGGATTTTTTTGACCATATCACTTTAACCCAGCTTGGACTGTTTTCACCTGATATGGAATACCAGCTTGTGCAGATGGAAGCAGGTGATCATCTCTGTTTTTCATTTACTTGCGACGCTAGAATTGTAGTTTATAGAGCAAATAGTTGTCAGGTTATGTTAGAGCGCTTGTTTTAAGGTTAATAATAGATCATTTTGCACTGTGAATCATTTCCTTTTGGTGAAAGATAAATGAATGGTATTTAAAAATGTACATTTTGAACTTGACAAGGGCAAAAGTGACTCTATTCTCCAACTTAATGTTAAATTTCTGAGTTACGACGACAGAAACGATGTTGAACCTGAAGAGAAAATCAAATAAATTGCAAAAGTAATAACTAGTGTTTGTGTAAGTGTGAGAAAAAAAAAGAGCACAAGTGAGAAAAAGAGTGTGTGTGTGTGTGTGTGTGTGTGTGTGTGTGTGTCTGAGGGAATGCGTGTTGAACAGTGCTGGGAGGGAGGGAGTGGGGGATACGTGTAGAAGACAGATGGTCACTCAGTGGAGTTGTTCCCCTACTCCCTCTCTCTTTCTCACTCCCTTCTGGGTCCTACATCCTTCCCCTGTCACCTCTCCAGAATCTTACCTCATCTGTTTTTTTTTTTTGTTTTTTTTTTCCTCACCTCCCCTCTCAGCATCTTTTACATCTTCCTCGCCACCATTTAAAGTCTGAGCTTGGATCTTCACTCACTTTGCTGTACCTTTATCTCCTCAGATCTTCTCTTCACGTCCCCTGCTACTTCTCTTCCTCCTTCTTGTCTTATTTTTTGCTGAGGAAATCAACTTGAAAATACCAGGAGATTTTTTTTTTTTTTTTTGGTTTGTGTGTGTGACTGTCATTCTGGCCCCCTGCTGACACAGCACGTAGGACACTGGAGAGATTTGGGATTTGTGTGGGCAGACAAGAAAAGCAGAAAGACAAACAGAACGGCTGTGATTGACAGCTTTGGTCAATGAACCATTCTGAATTTCATTTGAATGTAATTTAGTTTTGAGACACATTTGCTGGTTTGATTGCAGGTGATACCAGCGACAACCGAACAGAGGTTAAAGATAGAGCAGGTTTCCTCTCTTTCTCTTTTAATCCAACCAACTCTGAACTCTGAGAGAGGTTTGGACTTCCAAAAGGACAATTTCTGTCATCATAGCATGTTTATTTACATTTCATATTGTCCAAAGTGACACTTCTTCATAGCAGAATTAATCAGAGATAGTCACCCTAAACAGCCCAGGATCAGTCATGCACCCCAGATCAAACAACTTTGACCTCCCGCTACTGCTGGGTGTGCTCCTGTTGTGGGGACCCATGGGGTCCAGGGGCCAGAATGACACGGAGCCCATCATCCTTGAGGGGAAATGCTTGGTCGTATGTGACTCCACTCCTTCATCTGAGCCGGCCGGTAACGCGCTGGGCATGTCGGTCCGCTCCGGCTCCGGCCGGGTGGCCTTCTCCGCCAGCCGCCAGACCAACCACGAGCCCACGGACATGAGCAACCGCACCATGATCATCTATTTTGATAATGTGAGTGTGTCACTGCTGAAGTGTGTCTTTAAGTTTCAGCGCCGCGGTGTATTTATTTAAAAAAAAAAAAAAAAAAGCCCACGATTCAAAATAGTTAAAATAGTGTGAAATGCTCATTAATGTTGGAAGTAGTTTCATTTCCCAAACCATTTAACAGAAGAAGATCTTTTCATGGTGCCATCATGATAAAAAAGAAAAAGAATAGTTATATATCACTTTCTCTCCCGCTCAGCTTCTGTAAACTGTACTCTAAGTATTTTTAGACAGAAGTCTTCTGCCAATAAGATGCACATATGATTAGAGTTCTGACAGTGAGGTAAACACTGAGGTTTTGGGCTCACAGTGCAGCCGTTTGGCCACAGAACCGTTAGATTATACTGAATGATCCGCGTGCGTAATCATGGACATTTAGGACTTTTTTTTTGGAAATAGACATGTAGAAATATGACTCAGGAGTTTGGGAGAAGTCTGTGATCTCCCTGGAGTGAGCAGGTGTGGGGTATCTGTTTTTCACTGGTCACCAAAAGGCTTTTTTTTTCTCTGCCATATCCTCTGTGCTCCTTTACTGTTTCATGTATAATGTCACATATCATCTGTGGACTCAGATCCTGGTGAACGTCGGCACTCATTTTGACCAAGAGAGCAGTGTCTTCCTGGCACCAAGGAGAGGAGTGTACAGCTTCAACTTCCATGTTGTAAAGGCCTACAATAGACAAACTATCCAGGTACAACACCTCAACTATGACACTGACAGTAATGACTCCAGAGGACCGACATGCACTCTCTCATTCCTTCATATTGTCTGCTTTAGGTCAGCCTGATGGTGAACGGCTGGCCGATGATTTCAGCTTTCGCCGGGGACCAGGACGTGACCAGAGAAGCTGCCACCAACGCCGGCCTGGTGATTATGGAGAAAGGGGATAAGGCCTACCTCAGACTGGAGAGAGGCAACCTGATGGGAGGCTGGAAGTACTCCACCTTCTCTGGGTTTCTGGTCTTCCCCTTGTGAGAAAGGTGGATGGGGAGCAGGTTGAAGTGTTGTATAGGTGATGGGAGGAGAGTTGGATAGAGGAGGAGTGAGAATGACTTAAAGGGAGGAGTGACGGAGCAGAGGGTGACGCGAGGGGAACAGATGTAGGAGAGAAGAAAGGTTTCAATCTGTATCTCATTATAAAGCGCATGAAAGAATGTGTTTTCTGTTAAATGCAGAGAAAAGATGTTCAAATTAAGATCATTTTCACCTGAGAAAAAAATTAATGACGAAAAAGAGGGAAAAAGAAGTTTGTCTGTGATTTTACTTTGCTCTGTTTCTGTGTATGAATATTTGATGGGTTTATTTAAGAGACATTTTAATTGTGACAAAATTATAAAGTAGCCATGTGCAATGTGGGCTCCTGTGCAAAAACTAGGTGAGAGCATTTGTCTTTTTTTTTTTTGTTCAAAATGTTTGAAACACTGCTGCGCTCCACATGGCGTCCTGTCTAGCTTACAAACTCGCCAAACTTCCCCTTTATTCTGCTGTTGTTGTATGACTGATGCTTCTCTATATGCCTGTTAGTCTCCTGCAACAAATGTTTATTTACACAGAAATTTCTATTGAGGAGAAATATTAAAATAATAAAGTTGACTGAGTGTATATCCTTTAATGAGTGTGCAGGAGTGAATGCATTGTCATATTTCTTTCCACAAATAGCTTATATAAAGATAGACAATGAATCTATTCTATGAATCACTTCTAGATCAACATACAAAAATAACCAAATTCATACTGTAATATGCGAGAGGTGTGAAAGTTAAATATTCTCATGCAAAACAGTGTTTCTCCTCCCTCTCATGGTACTCTACCCAGTGCCACGGCAGCTGTTTGTAAATATAGCTCTCACCAGCAGAGTTGGCGTTGGCGTGGACCGAGCAGAGCAGCGTGGGGCAGAGTGTAAGTGTGGTGAATAGCAGATACTCCTAGCAGGGCCGCAGACAGATGGAAGCTTTGGCGAACAGGCAGGCTCATCTCTGCAGGGCTGCCATGGATAAAGTGTGGTGCGCTGTCACATGTAGTCACTTACGCTTCCTTGGTTCATGACCACCACGCCTCTCTCTCTCTCTCTCTCTCTCTCTCTCTCTCTCTCTATTCTCTCTCCCTATTCTCTCTGTCTGTGTGTGTCTCACTCACTTTCATACACACTCCCACATTATTGGCATCATGCTTTTATGATTTTCGGATGAACCACTAAGTATTTCTAAAAATGGAAAACCATGACTTTAATTCATGGTGTCACATTAATGCACTGACTGAAGAAGCTTTAATGGTAATGGGAGACTTTGTGGACATACCAGCTATTCTGACCAAAATGATCTGAGTTTCAATACAAAAAATAAGAGCCTTCCTAATATAATTATTTTACTATATATGGTCTTTAAATGTATGGGTTTTTGTGACATTTAAATTGAAATGGTAAATATGATATGAAAATTAAGAGTGTGAGCTCCATGCTGTGGGGCCCTAGATCCCAATGGACCTGCAGA